ATTTCTCTCATCATATTTCTTCTGCTGTAGTTTGCATAGTGGTGCTACTATCACAAATACATATTTGCTTGTTTGTAATGTAAGAAGATTAGTGGGTACTGATAGCCTTCTTCCTCCTTCTTGAAGTATTATTTGGACTGTTGAGTCTAAATTAAAGTTTGTTGCAGTATTGAATAGATGTAATTTTACAGGACTAAATTAATTGTTTGTCATTGACCTGTCTCTTGACATAATTAGATGTGGTTACTGATGTTTTTATTAAGAATGCCTTAACTGGTTGGTTGAAGTGATTCGCCAAAAAAGAAGTGTTCGCTAGTTGAAGACAATTACCTGGAATTAAGTTGTCAAGATCTGTCAGGAGACCAGTCTTAGTATTATCTCTTATATTGTTATTTGATATGATTTGATAGTTTGCTTTCCAAATGCATGTAAAATAGGCCTGTCTGTCTCACTTGACTGAGATTTGTGTGACGTTATCTTTAAGGAGCTGGTTCTGAATGTTTCAGACCCAGCACTGTCTGCCAAGCACCTCTCTGCTGTGAGATACCTGCTGCATCTTTAGCTGGATTTTGATCAATACTCCCACCACTGTTTATGCATTTTCTGCAGGGGCTGTTGATATTTTACATGAGACACTTCTTGCAGAGGGGGGCTATTGACATCCCGCTTCAGGATCACTGCCGCACACAGTTATGTACCTGCTGCTCCCAACTGCCCTACTGCTGCTGCTTATCTCATCCTGAGTCTGTGCGTCCTGCCTAACAAGCTGTGTGTAGAGCAGCTCTTCTGTAGTGTGTAGTCTGAAGACAGAGCACTCTTTAGGAAAGTAAAGTTGCAATTTTATAAGACAGTTTTTTGGCAGTAACACAGGCCACCAGACTCCTTTGCTGTTGCACTATACCGTCCTGTCTCAGCCGTGCTGGCAGAACCATCTGTGTAGCTATTCTGTGAATTTGGCTTTCTCACTCTTGGAGGACCTGCCCTGCATCTATATTTATATTAAATTATCTAAAAGTTGTAGCCCCTAATGCTTGATTTGAAGGAGTAGAGCAGTAGCTGTAAGCATGCTTTCCACACAACCCAGTAACTGCTCATTTGTTAAACATGTCTGCAAGTCTTCCTGTCAGCCCTCAGTTGATTGAGGAAGGAGAACTTTAGGATTGTGAAAGGTCTAGGGGGCAAAACATATGAGCAAAGCTGAGGTCCTGGGTTTCCTTGGCTGAGAGCAGAGGAGGCTGAGGGGAGACATCATGGCAGCTGCAGCTCCTCCCAGGAGCTCTGCTCTCTGAGGACAGTGTCAGGGCCAGAGGGGTCAGCATGGAGCTGTGTCAGGGGAGGGACAGGCAGGGGTTAGGGAAAGTTCTGCTCCAGTGGGTAGTGGACATGGAAGAGACTCACCGGGGCAGTCAGTGATCGTGGCCTGAGCTGTCAGAGTTCAAGGAGCCTTTGGACAGCATTCTCAGACACGGGGTTTGAATTTTGTGTGGTCCTACGTGGAGCCAGGGATTGGACATGGTGGTCCCTATGAGTCCCTTCCAACTGAAGATGTTTTATGGTTCTGTAATTGAGCTTGAACAGGAGAAATTATGACTGGAAAGGGGAGAGTGCCAAAGCAATTTATGGAGTAGAGCACCAGCTAAGAGGAGGATTTCAGGATTGCACTGTGGAATGCAGCCACCTCAGGGGAGGGGCTTTTATAGTGTTTTTTTCTTGTACCTTATTTAACTCTTATCCAGGAGACTCCAATGTCAGACTGGTATCAGAGGGACTATCTGTAATTACTTTGAAAGATAACTTAATAACACTGTTGTAATTTGAGAAAGAACAGATACCATAGTAGATCTTTAAGAGTTGGTTTAAAAAATAAACAAACAAACAAAAAAAACCAAACAGATAATTTCTTCATTCATGCTGTAGTGTTTTGCCTAATGTTCTTTTGTAGATTAAGCTTTCTTATTTCGTGAATACTAGTTACTTAACTTAGAACTTACTGGGGAGAAAGAAAAGTTAAGAATTTCCCCTTTCAATTGTTAAGAGCTCTCAAATATAGTGCAGATAGCTCAGATTGCAGAGATAGCATAACCCAGATTACTTACATCTGAAGTTTGAATTCTCATGGAAGATTGGTCAGTATAACATACTTAGATATCAAATTGGTGTTAGTTAAAATGATAGCAGTACAGACTCATCTTCAGGAACATTTTACAGCTTATTTCTCCTCTAATTTTGAAGAGTTATGAGGGCTGCTCTGAAAGTCTGCTCTTATTTCATTATGCTGGATCGTGACATCAGAAGTGGATGTTGATGGTATGGTAGCAGAGGCTGAACCTTCCAATCAGTATTCCCTTACATTTAGTTGCTGTGTGACAGATGGCAGCAGAGGGGCAACTTGACATGGAAGTGTATATAAAACAAAAATTGAATTCTTCCATGTGGAAAACATTGCATCCACTGACATTCATTGGCACTTGCTGAATGTTTTTGGAGACCAAAGAGTAGATGTGGGCACAGTGAGGTGGTGGGTGGTGTCAGGGGCAGTGGATCACCTCCATTGCTGCAGATTTTTATGAGCATAGTGTGCAGGCTTTTGTTCATTGCTGGCAAAAATGCATAGTAATGGTGGTGACCTATGTTGAAAAAATAGTTTTGTAGCTGAGAATTTGCTCTGTCAAATAATGTTATGGTGTTCTTTGTACCTATTATAGTTTTCATAGAAGTAAATAGGAGGCAATACTTTCAGAGGCAACTTTCAGAGCAACTTACTATTTTTAGCTAATGTCATGAAATTGGATCTAAGCTGTTTTTCTGCCTCTTGATAAATGCTTAGTATTCTGAGCTCCCATAGAAGGTATGGGGCTGAAAATGAGAAATCTGTTGGTATATGAGCCAGCAGTGTGCTCTTGCCGCTCGGCGGGCAAATGGTATCCTGGGGTCCATCAAAAGAAGGCCAGCAGGGACAGGGAGGTGATTGTCCCCCTCTACTCTGCTCTTGTGAGGCCCCATCTGGAATACTGCATCCAAGTGTGGAGCCCCCAGTACAAAAAAGGCAGGGAGCTGTTGGAGAGGGTCCAGAGGAGGGCCACTAGGATGATCAGGGGACTGGAGCACCTCCCCTATGAGGACAGGCTGAGGGAGCTGGGCTTGTTCAACCTGGAAAAAAAGAAGGCTACAGGGTGACCTCACTGCAGCCTTTCAGTACCTAAAGGGAGCCTACAAACAGGAGGGGAACCAACTCTTTGAAAGTGTGGATAACAGGAGGACAAGGGGAAATGGTTTTAAGTTGAGGGGGGGAAGATTTAGGTTGGATGTCAGGGGGAAGTTCTTTACTCTGAGAGTGGTGAAGTGCTGGAACAGGCTGCCCAGAGAGGTTGTGGATACCCTGTCCTTGGAGATGCTCAAGGCCGGGTTGGATGGGGCCCTGGGCAGCCTGGTCTAGTATTAAATGGGGAGGTTGGTGGCCCTGCATGTGGCAGGGGGGTTGGAGATTCATGATCCATGAGGTCCCTTCCAACCCTGGCCATTCTGCCATTCTGTGATTACAGAACTAAGTAGTAGGCAGTAGCTGACTAGTTTAATTATACTCAAATTTTGTATTTAATTACCTGAGTTACCTCTAGCTGGCGTCTAGAGAGACTGTTGCTGATGATGAAATAAGGAAATAAATATCTGAATTGGTCCTGCCAAACACTTATATGTAAGACCCTAAAATACGGCTTCAGTCTTTTTTCCATTCTGCTGTGTGTGTCGGTTTTGGATCGTGGCATTAAAGACGGTAACAAAATGAACCAATGTCAGTAAGATACAAAAATGACTCAGAATTAGAAAGCATTATGTGTTTACTGCCCATAGCATTTTGAAAACAAGGATTGTGTCCTCATATGTAACGTTGATATTATTGGTGTAGTTTTGATAGTATTTTACAGATAGTATTTTGATAGTATTGGCCGTTTTCTTTGTATGAGTACAAATACTAAAATGAAATATTTTCTCATACCATACTTAAATCATTTCAGGCAAGTTCTGATCAGTAGTTCCTCTGTAGCCTGTCATTCTGTCATAATTCTCTATCCATATTGCCCAAAGAAACCTTTTTGTATATTCGGTTGTGTTACAAACTATAGATTCATTTGCATGTGTTTAATCTTTACTGTCTGACAATAGATATTGTAATATACCCAAAAACCTCCAGGTATTTCCAGTGTAAACAATTACACACCTTCCAAGCTCTCATTTATTGTATAAAACAAGTACTGTATTACTTTGTTAACCTGTTGTGGAAATGCTAAGACGTAGCCTGAACCAGAGTTGAGCATCTAGTGGGAAGGCAGGGCCAACAATCTAATCAAAACGAAGCTAAACATATACAGTGGTATATTGCCTCTTACTGTTTTTAGGCATTGGTGGCATATGAGGAAAGTTCAAACCTACAGCCTATTGCTTCTGCTCAAAGGCTGCAAAGGATTGAATGGCAGAAGGGTAGGAGGGATGAAGAGATGACATACCTGGACACAAGTGTTTAGTATATTTTCAGGTTAATGAACAAACCACTTTCTACAGAAATTTCCAATAACAAATTGCATTGCAGTGAGAAAGTGTTGGAGGAATGCTGGCATGCTGTTGGGGTGATTGCCATGTGTTGAACAGTGTACCTGGTATTATTATTAAAAGAGTTAACAGATAGAAATTAAGATAGTACTAGAGATGCGGATTGTCTTTATTTGATTAATGCTATAACATGGTTTATTGCCTGATAATTATAGGTCAAGCCATGAATATTTCCATTACATTGCCAGTTTGATTTTTCTACTGGAGCAATGCCTGCAGTAGTCCATCAAAGAAGAGGTTAGATGCAGTAACCTGATGCAGTATTGCAGTGTAAACTCTTAATGGATCTAAATAAAGAAAGTATTTTTTAAAGACTTTTTTTCTTCATAAAGCAAATGTGCTGTATTATGTTCAACTTACACTAAAAGGAAATACTGTGCTTTCCTTTGTTGCAGATCACCAGAAACTGGAAAGAGAAGCTAGAATCTGTCGTCTCTTGAAGCATCCTAATATCGGTAGGAACATTTATTTGCTTTATACCGTAGATAAGAGTTTTGAAAATTGAGGAAAAACACAAAATAACATACAAATAGCAGCTCAGAGAAGTGAAATGGAAATATCTTCAGGCAAGACTGTTTCTTTATACTCTGGTGCTCCTATGTAGTTCTTCTATGAGATATCATATCCCAACAGATCACCAAGAGCAATGCATAATGTTCTCATCTTCTTTGAGCTATTACTCTGCCATCAATGAGCTGTCTGTGCCAGGTGTTTGGGGTTTTTTTGAGCAGTGTGTAGGAGGAGTTATTTCCAGTACTGCTCATGACTTCTTGAGACCTGCTGAATTTCATGTACCAGCATATGTTGCAAAAAGAGACAGACCAATGTCAATAAACTTAGTGTTGTTTTTACTGAGCTGCTTATTTTATCCTATTTTACTCTGTATATTCTTTTCTCCTGTACAAGAATAAGTTGATGCAAAAAACTCTTCTCCCTTTATTTCTAAAACTGTATGTTTTCTACTCTAGCATTCATGAAAAGCACTAAAAAAGTGTTTGTTTTTTTTTTCCCCCATGGGTTTTCTGTTTGATTTTGAGTAGAAAAAAAATGAGTATTTTGAACTTTAAGTAGTTGGAGTTAAGTTTTTCAGACACTGAATTGCATGCTGGTTGTCTTAAAAACAGTGAGGGCTTTAAACCAATGCATGTATTTGGTTTATTTGGTTTTCTCGAAGCTCTTGGCAGTTTCCTTGCTCTTCCTTCTGATTAGCTGTTCTCCTTTTCATTTTTAACTAACAAGAGTGACTTTTGTGACCTTTTTAGTCTAATCCAATTGTATGCCTGGGAAAGAAACAGCTCCTTCCTTTTAATAATAATTGTAAATGGAAAACAGAAAAACCACAGCTCAAAATGAGGTATCGAATCTGTGAAAAGCTCTTATACTGTCTCAAAGGCTTAGAGGTTTCATGTGCAAATTTGGATAATGAGGAAGAATAGTGTTATGGACATTATTTTGTCCCTAAAATTTGTGCATTATAAAGTGATGGAAGACAGAGGAGGGAATGACAGTGCTAATTTTCTACGGTAGTTCAACCTTGCTCTAGTTTTGTTAGAGTATATTTGTGAATTTGAACCTCTCAGGGAAGATGAATAAAAAAACGATAATAAACTGAGTTAGTGCAAGAGCTGAAATGCACGGAACTCTATGGAAACAAATATCTTAATTGTTTTCTTCTTTTTTAGCTTTGAGTAGCTTGAACCAACATTAGGACGTAGTCTAGATTCTTTTTGTCAGACCAACTAATTCATGTAGTGTTTATATGTTTGTGAATGTATGACTTGAAATGGGAAGATATGACAGCTTTGGTGACAGACAGGGTTATGTAAGTCAACACAAGTTCCATGCTTCATTACCTGCTCCAAGGTATGTAACTGAGTGAATGAACTCTGAAGTAGGAAAAGCCATCATGTTCTAGGCCTGCCTGAGAGAAAATTTTCATGATACAGAATTAACAGGCCAGGGGCTTAACAGCAGGCATTAAACTCTGTCCTTGTTCAATTTCTACTGTCAACTATTCCGCCAGCCCTGTTAATGTATCTGCCTGAAAAAGGCTCTTCCAGTTAATTTGTTTGCATAATTGTCACAGTGAAGGGCACTTTGTTTCTTGTTTCTGTCTTGGAGGAAAATTATAAATGTGGTCTGAATAGGAGAACTGTTTTTGTAAATGGATAAAAGAAACTTTCCAAAAGTAGTAATTTTAAACCTCTGAAGTTGTATCAGGTGTGCTGCTGGGCTGAAGGGGCTCAGGTGTGTGTGTGAGCTGACTGACTGTCCAGTCTCTACCTCAGTGAGTTGCCTACACTCTTCTCTTGTTCTGTCCTTGTGGCAGGCAGTGTACCCATGTATGCCCAACCTGGCTGCACTTCACTGCTTCTGCAGACATGACTTCAGCCAACTAAGCAGGAGCCCTGAAGTCCTTCTAGGTGCATACTGCCTGCTTAGCAAGCTGAATCTCTTGCTCTTGTGTTAGTTCCATGTATATTTTCTGAAAAAGGGTAATACTGTATCACACAAGAAAATACTAATAGTGAAAAAGGAAGTTTACAGGTTATCTTTACTTAGCTGTAGCCACAGAATCTATACTACAGATTACTATAGATTATTACTATAGATATCTATAATCCATACATTGCGGTATCATAAAGATTAACTCTTGTGAACAAATTATACTTCTATTATATACAATAAAGAGTACATGTTTAAAAGTATTAACAAGCTCATGAACATAAAATTGAGATTTCTTTTTATATGTATTTCTTTTTCCACGTTCATAGTCTCAGTGCTTTTATTTATTTTTCCCTGGTGCAGACTTTCTGTTATTTGTCTTTTTAATCATTGCACATTCACTGCAGGCTGGCACCTTTCTGAAGTTAGAATTCTCTAATCCCTTCTCTTTTCTTTTAGGCATACTCCTATTTATTTTTCCTAGTTAGCTTGATTAAATTACACTTTTAAGGTGACTCAGATTAAAGGGATCTCTTTTAGCTTATCTTTGTTTCTAAAGCAATATGTAGATATTATTCTTCTCAAGAGTGTTTTATGATCTATTTGGTAAATTATCTTTCACATCTTGAGACTGCCACCAGATACTTTGGGGTGAAAACCAGTCAGAGAAAAGCAGCACTGCTGTAATGAATCACACTTTCAGATTTCAGCCTGTGAGTAAAAACATTGTGTTTGTTTGTTTGTTTTGTTTTTGTTGTTTTGTTTTTCTCTTTAGAGGAATGGAATTTTAAAAACAATCTAAACCACTGGAACTATTTTCCTTTTGCCTTTCCATAGAAAACAGAACACTGTCAGAAAATTCTACAGATCACTGTTTTTTTTTGTTGCAGGGTAGGTGTCCAACTGGTACATAACGAGAAAAAATATTTAGTATTAAGTTATTTCATCAGGATAATAAGTAATTCAGGACCAAACCTCAAACCTCTTAACAATCAATATACCTATTTTTAGTTTTACAAGAATACCACTTTTATCATCATTTCATATCTGATCTGATTTTTGTTTGCTTGTTTTGTTTTTAGTGAGTCACATGCAGTTAAGAAATCTTGGAAGTTTGAGGAAGTCTTTCAATTTTAATCTGTATTCATACGCTCTAACCTTAAGCTCCTTTGGTATTGGCAGAGGAATCTTTAAACTAGTCATGAGTGTTTTTATTTTTTTTAAATGTGGATTTGGAACAAAAGCCTGGAAAAGCACAGCATATGGAGAAAGAATTAGGAGAAGGCTAACTTGACATACTTTCTGTAAAAGTGATAGAACTCTGAAATTTAGAAATTAAGAAGATGCACATGAAAATATTTTCATCTCAGTTCTTTATTTGAATCTTTGAAACTAATCTCTGTGAAATACTAAACACAAAAAACACTGAGGAGAAACAAATGCAATACTGCCTTTTTGGAAGTATTTGAAACATAAGATGATTTTTTCAGGATTCAGTAGATCTACCAAATGTTCACAGATGAACAATTCATGTGTAAATTTAAGTATAAACGACGACAACTGAGGAAGCTAGATTCTTAATTAGAATTAGCTGCTAGACTTTTCTACTGGAAGAATGATTTTGAACTATGGAAAGGCAGCAACTTCTAAATTAATGTATGAAGAATTGAAACTTCTGATTATCCTCACTAGAGAAGTGTGAGGAAGGAGGAGTAACTGAGTCAAAATCCAGCTATCCAGCCCTTTCAAATATTTAAAAATAAAAGAAATCCATCATAGTTCATTTTGGTATGGAGATGTTTTACTGTTTGATATGGACACATATGCCTAAGTTCAGCAAAGCCTATGAAAGCATACAGTCATTTCAAATATGTTTTTTGAGTGCAGCACTTTGGTTTTTTTTAAGGCATAGACCTTTCCAGGTGTACTTGATATCCTTTTAATGAAGTCACAAGTCACAAATCTGACTACTAGCATTGTTAGCATCAACTGTCTTCTGTAACACATTTGTTTTACTGTTAGATTATGCTTTTAGGTTTTTTTGGTGTTTTTTTTTGTGTGCGTGTTTTGTTGCTTTTGTTGTTAAGGAAAATCAGTGTATTTTTTATCAGAAGTATTAAGAAAAAGAGAAAATGAAAATGTAAGACGGTGGTTCTCACATGATGGAATTATCTGTAGAGGAGTTCTATAGAAGTCTGGTTCAGTACTTCTGTTGCTGTCCAGGTACTTCTTTGCATGTAGCTAGTTTTGTTTTTCAGAATTTTTGTTTTACTTACTTTCTGCTCCATGGTTTCTTCTTCACCATCTAGCTATCAAATCATGATGCCTTGTGAAGAATGTAGAAAAAATGCCTAAGAGAAAAGTGGATTAAAAATATGTATTTTTTCTGTTCTCCTTTTTCGCATCTCTGACATCTCGCATTTCAGTCTTACATAATATGTACATGGAGGTTTATTTAGAAAATACAAGACTGCCTCATCATCTTCACAGTTATTCTTTAGCAATACATATTGCTTATATTCTGATTTCTGCCTCTTCGTCCCTCATCCCTTTGCATTGGAGCAATTGTAGTATAATGACAGCCAGTGAATTTTGTGTTTAAAAGAACATACATTCATTTCAGCTTCCACATGTGTTCTTTGGATAAGCATGAAATTGTAAACAGTAGCTGTTCTAACATATAACTTCTTACTGTTTGGCAGATGAGTTTTATCCCATTTTTTTCTTCGTAGTAAATTATTTATTTACTCAGAAATACTTCAGAAATACACAAACATCCTTACCTGCCACAAAATTAAAATTCCGCTTCCTTCGTGGACCATTTTATTCTCCTTATTTTTGATTGCTTATTAGTATAGTAAAAGATTGAGTACCCTCCTTTTGTGTAACATTACTCTGTTGAAACACAGTTAATCGAGGTTCTGTATATTTTTGTCACTCCAGACTTCTGGGGATTAAAATGAAACAAATCCATTGGCTGAACTTCAGGCCTTGAAGGGAAACTTCATGC